CAGTGTTAAATGGTTTGTCTTAACCCTCTAACTGCTATATCTGCAGGACAGCTTGTTGGTTTTTAAAAATGACAGACTAACTGGCCAGATCGCCAGGTGAAAATAAAGGAAAGAAAGCCTAAAAAGATGTATTGCCACTCACTGGAATCTCTGTCACAATCTCTGTCATCAGATGCCATAACTACCTGTATAACTGCCCACTACTCCCGTTGATGATCCATGACTATTTGCTTTTAGGACATAGGCTTCAATAACTGGACGGCTTCAGAACAAACACTGCCTACACCATTTATTTACCGAATCTGGGGGTCCTCTGTGACAATGGGGAACACCTCCCCTAGATATGTGAAGCCATCACCAACTACATCAGTTTGTGAATGCATTATCTAAATGAATCCAATCCAAAAAAGGATTTAACTTCATTAGGAACTCAATTGTCAGCAACAGATCTACCAAAACATGGAGTCACACAATTATATAAAATATTCCTAAGGCTGGCAATTTCAACTCCACTTAAACACCTGGCAGAATGGGAATCTGAGATACAACATACAGGTGAAACTCGAAAAATTAGAATATCGTGCAAAAGTTCATTTATTTCAGTAATGTAACTTAAAAGGTGAAACTAATATATGAGATAGACTCATTACATGCAAAGCAAGATAGTTCAAGCCGTGATTTGTCATAATTGTGATGATTATGGCTTACAGCTCATGAAAACCCCAAATCCACAATCTCAGAAAATTTGAATATTGTGAAAAGGTGCAATATTCTAGGCTCAAAGTGTCCCACTCTAAGCAGCTAATTAAGCCATAACACCTGCACAGGGTTCCTGAGCCTTTAAATGGTCTCTCAGTCTGGTTCAGTAGGAATCACAATCATGGGAAAGACTGCTGACCTGACAGTTGTGCAGAAAACCATCATTGACACCCTCCATAAGGAGGGAAATCCTCAAAAGGTAATTGCAAAAGAAGTTGGATGTTCCCAAAGTGCTGTATCAAAGCACATTAATAGAAAGTTATGTGGAAGGGAAAAGTGTGGAAGAAAAAGGTGCACAAGCAGCAGGGATGATCGCAGCCTGGAGAGGATTGTCAGGAAAAGGCCATTCAAAAGTGTTGGGGACTTTCACAAGGAGTGGACTGAGGCTGGAGTCAGTGTATCAAGAGCTACCACACACAGACGGATCCTGGACATGGGCTTCAAATGGCGTATTCCTCCTGAACAACAAACAACGTCAGAAGCGTCTTACCTGGGCTAAAGAAAAACAGACCTGGTCTGTTGCTCAGTGCTCCAAAGTCCTCTTTTCTGATGAGAGCAACTTTTGCATCTCATTTGGAAACCAAGGACCCAGAATATGCAGGAAGAATGGAGAGGTACACACTGCAAGATGCTTGAAGTCCATTGTGAAGTTTCCACAGTCTGTGTTGATTTGGGGAGCCATGTCATCTGCTGGTGTTGGTCCACTGTGCTTCATTAAGTCCAGGGTCAACGAAGCCATCTACCAGGAGATTTTGGAGCACTTCCTGCTTCCTTCCGCAGACGAGCTTTATGGGGATGCTGACTTCATTTTCCAGCAGGACTTGGCACCTGCCCACACTGCCAAAAGCACCAAAACCTGGTTCAATGACTGTGGGTTTACTGTGCTTGATTGGCCAGCAAACTCGCCTCACCTGAATCCCATAGAAAATCTATGGGGCATTGCCAAGAGAAAGATGAGAGATATGAGACCGAACAATGCAGAAGAGCTGAAGGCTGCTACTGAAGCATCCTGGTCTACCATAACACCTCAGCAGTGCCACAGGCTGATAGCTTCCATGCCACACCGCAGTGAGGCAGTAATTGCTGCAAAAGGGGCCCAAACCAAGTACTGAGTACATATGCATGCATACTTTTCAGAGGTCCGATATTGTTCCATGTACAATCCTTGTTTTATTGATTGCATGTAATATTCTAATTTTCTGAGACTGTGGATTTGGGGTTTTCATGAGCTGTAAGCCATAATCATCACAATTATGACAAATCACAGCTTGAACTATCTTGCTTTGCATGTAATGAGTCTATCTCATATATTAGTTTTACCTTTTAAGTTGCATTACTGAAATAAATTAACTTTTGCACGATATTCTAATTTTTCGAGTTTCACCTGTATATATATATATATATATATATATATATTTTTGTTTTTTTTAAACATATTGAATATTGAAAAAATTGTAGTATTTCAAATATATGGAAATATATTTGGGAAGAATATTTTTAAAATATAATTCAAATATATTTTTCGTCCATATGGGTGTAACCATTGTTCCTTGTACATTGTTGACATGCCCATTCTCTGTCATCCCATTCTAGCCTCTTGCAGTATATGAACAGGTCACCTAAGAAGCACACATAAAATACACACAATACCCATGCTTACGCTATTACATATATGTAAAACATCTCTTTGCTTCCTTATCATTGATAAATACACATTTGGGATATGTTAGATAACACTGTCACAGTGAAAATGCATGTAAAAAAAAGAAGTGTGATATCATTTGGTTCAATTAAAATGATGAATAATCTATGCAACATAATGCAGACAGAATAACACAAAGGCATTTTGACATTCTTGCTAGCTATTGCATGGATCAATAAATGCATTGGATGCTGCTTTTGAGTCATATCTGTGCATTCTCACAATAGCTTTCAAGGACAGTCTGACTTCCTTTCTCCATCATTAAGTATGACCTTTACCAATATATGCCAAGAGGAAAGTATCAGGCCTAGTTATCAATGTGTTTAATTCATATAAACACTTTCTTGACTTAAACATCAAGGGTGAATTAAATCTTATTTTATGGATGTAAAGATATTAATGTAGGTGAAAAGGTAGATTCACTGTATATTAGCATCAAAAAGCAGAAGAGACATCTGTTATAATCATGTATTTCCACAGAACTACAATATAACACTTATTAGACCTTAGAAGCAGACCAAGAGTATCAGAGAAGAGTGAGAAGTCCTTATTTTCATACTTTTTGCAGGTCTACGATCACTTTAATTATCAGGTAACTACCATTTTCAAAAGGAGTGGGCAGTAATCACATTGTCCTTTTTTTCTTCTATAACAGTTTTCTTTTTTTGTGACAAAACCTGAAATGAGAAAAGCCACTGGCTCCTCTGGATATTTGCAGTTCGAGTTAGCTTTCCAGTTTAACAATTCTAGAGCTCAAAATCAACTGGCCTGAGCATACAACAAATATTGAACAAGTTTCATGGGTCAAGAGGCAGGTTGAGCCTTTCCATCTCCTATGCCTCACCATTGGCCAGTCAGAGAGTTGGGTAGCCTTACAGGTAAATAGTAAATGCTGAGGAGGCAGGAAAGTTTCTGCTGATGGAGGATACTGGGTAAATATTTGTATGCCAAGGTGCTTTTGTATTTCAGGCACTGGGTGATTGGAATGGAAAATGAGCATGATATGCAGGGTACTTGGAGGTGCCTGCAACGTACTGCCAGTGGCTGATTAGTAGGTTTTACTGTCTCAGGTGTGCTTTAAGGGCAAAATCCAAAGGTACCTAAGTCAGATGTTGTATTTTCTTTGCAAACAGACTTCACAAGGTACTGTTACTCAGTGACCACTAAGGACCTTTTCACTCCAATCACATGAACAATTCACATTTATTTTCATTTAGTGACTATAACCTTCCCTGCAAAATAACTATTACCTTAATCCCGCCAGTCGCCTTGTGCAGCTCAGCTTCCCTGCTAAATTTTTCTAGCTGGAAAAGTTTCTTTTTTCTTATGATCTATGTCTATTAGTATATGGATCTGTATTTGTTTAGGCTTACAGAGTCAACTACTCTTTTTTTTGGATTGAAATGGTGTGAAAAACTTTCTGAACTTATCTGCACTTTTTGCCCTTTATTTAAAGGGCAACAGTAGAGATTTACATAACATTGGTGTAACATAAGCATGACAATTGGTAGACAAGTGCATTACAAAGACCAGAGTCTGTATATATTTATTGGCAGCACATGGCTTGTAAAGGAACACTATTATGAAAAAGAGACTCATCACAGAATTTGTGTAGATACAAGCACTATTTAATTGGTGTTCAGATTTCTCCAACCTGTTGGCTGTACTCCCCCTGGAGGTAGGTGAGTGTGCCTCCTCTGCGGAGTTGAGGCAAGAAAGAAAAATACTGGGTTCTCTGGAAAAGTGAAAGGCTTCTAGAAAATGTGCTCCTTTTCTGATTTCTGCATTGTAGCCCACTGGCTAAGTGAAAAAAAAAACCTGTCTATGGTCAGCTCAATAATGCAAAAACAGAATCAGAATGGCAAGGAATACACATAAACTACAGAGTAATACAAAACTAATTCTGAAAGCTGCACAAACATGGATCTTCAAAATGATGTCTCTGTGCCTCAGTCAGGGTAACAGGTGACTGCTTTGCAGATGACTCGATGCCTGATGACTCGGTGCCCGCTGTCATGCCAGTTGACTCGGTGCCCGCTGTCGAGCCAGATGACCTGATGCCCGAGGACCCAGTGCCCGCTGTTGAGCCACATAACCTGATACCTGATGACTTGGTGCCCGCTGTCGTGCCAGTTGATTCAGTGCCCACTGTTGTGCCAGTTAATTTGGTGCCTGCTGTCGAGCTTGGTGACCCGGTACCCGCGGTTCTGCTAGAAGGCTCGGTGCCCGCTGACGTGCCCGGTGACCCTGTGCCCCTGTCGTGCCAGATGACTTGGTGCCCGCTGACGTGCCTCTGCCCGCTACACAGCCCGACCATACCAGATGTCCAGTTAAACTGGCCGATAACTGATACCCAGCCTGCTCCTGGAAATCCTGTCCCAGTGACTGCCTTCCTTGGTTCTCCTACACAAAGAGAAGTCTACCAGCAGGAAACCCAGCCAGCCGGTTTACTCCGGCGAGTAGGATTTCAGCCAGTTACCGGACCCGGGCGGTGGAACATTTTGCCCACTAAGGACTGTTTGGAGCGTCCTGAGGCCGCTCCTTGAGGGGGGGGTTTTCTGTCAGGAATGGATTCAGCACTGGTGGTGGGACTCTGTGGGCTGCAGTACCAGAGCTGACCAGCGGGTGCACTTTGCTCTCAGCACTGGTGGTGGGACTCTCCTTGCCGTGTGGGCTGCGAGTAACCAGAGCTGAACCAGCGGGTGTCTCAGCACTGGTGGTGGGGGACTCTCCTGCCGTGTGGGCTGCAGTACCAGAGTGACCAGCGGGTGCTCTTAGCAAGACAGCTCACAATCAGCAAACCTGGGGCTGATTACAGAATGTGTATATAAGGCATGACCAGGCCTGTGCTCTGCGCCTTGGGTGTATGGTTCCCCATGAGCCCCTGTATCCTGTTCCTAGTTCCCTGTGAGAAGATACACCCTGCCTGATTCTGATTCACTGTTGGACCGTCTCCTGTTCTGACTACTGGCTTATCCCTGACCAGCCTTCTGCCTGACCTCTGTACTGCGCTGTCTGTGAGTTACTGAACCCGGCTTGTGACCTTGACCATCCTCTGCCTGCTCCTTGATACCGTGCTGCCCGCATGTTGCTGACTTGGCCCGTCTGACCACGCTCACTACTCTGCCATCCATCCATTCCTGCACGGTAAACCAGTGTACCTGCACATACCTCTGGCGGATCCTCTAATCACTAGCAGGTGTACTCCAGGGCCGCGACTGGTTCCTGTCTGCTCCAAGTCCATCCCCACCATCAGGGGGCCCTGGCTGATAGCAGACTGGGACTTAGACTCCGCGCCCTGGGGAATCCTGCCCTGAGGACCGCTAGAGGTACCACCAGGCAGCTCGTTACAGAACCCCGGCTCCTAAAACGGCCGGCCTGACCAAATCAACCTCTCCCAGCCCTGACCTACGCTGTGTTCCTGCACCTCCTAAGATTAGTGGAAGGTTAGTTTTGCACTGTGCGTTCTGGGTGGCTAATAATTCCTGTATTATACTATACCTGTAAACCTGGTTTCCCTGTGTCAGTCCCACACCTTTCTGGTCATTCCTTGATTCCTGACATCACACCAAGGCCTTTCCTGACCAGAAGTGGCTGCACAGGAAGCCATTTTGACTTGTCGTGAAGGATGCATCCTGATGAGGTTTATATATTTGTCTATGCTAGTCTTTGATGACAGGGAATATGCCTATCAGACTCTGCGGGAGTATACCCCGGGATCAGCTGTAGAGTCCATACGGACGCTCATTCCCTAGTAGGTCAGGACCTAGAGCTCTCTGAGGTGCAACCTTTGATTTTCAGGCTTGTATTGAGTTGGCTTCATACTAGTACCCTGAAAGCAGGGATAATTTCTTCCTCCATTCAGGGCGAGCAAGTAATATCTGGTAGGTTGTTGGAGGATGATCCGGATTGCTTCTTGGTGCATTATTCAGCATATTCACCACAGGTGCTAAAGAAGTGTATAAAACGCAGTGCAAACTTTTGATCAGACAGGCCTTGTGTAAGCTGAGCGTTGTCCAACCTTACTGCAGACATGGTCAGACTTGTTACACCCAGCCTCAATCAGCTTGCAACAAACCAGTCCTGCTTCACTCATCATTCCTCTGCTCAAAGCTCTTTTCCTGCATTCCCGACAACACACCCCAGTGACAGCCCCCCCAGTGACAGCCCAGTTTTACCCCAGCAATCTACCACATGTCGGTTACCCTGCTCCCACTCACTGTACCATCGTACCAGTTGACTCGGTGCCCGCTGTCGAGCCAGATGACTCGATGCCAGTTGACCGGTGCCCGCTGTCGTGCCAGTTGACTCGGTTGCCTGCTGTCGTACCAGTTGACTCGGTGCCAGTTGACTCGGTGCCAGCTGTCGTACCAGTTGACTCGGTGCCAGTTGACTCGGTGCTCGCTGTCGTAACTCGGTGCCGTTGACTCGGTGCCCGCTGGCGTACCACGTATGACTCGGTGCCCGCTGTCGAGCCTGATGACTCGATGCCAGTTGACTCGGTGCCCGCTGTCGTGCCAGTTGACTCTGTGCCCGCTGTCGTACCAGTTGACTTGGTGCCAGTTGACTCTGTGCCCGCTGTCGTACCTGTTGACTCTGTGCCCGCTGTCGTACCAGTTGACTCTGTGCCCGCTGTCGTACAGTTTGACTCTGTGCCCGCTGTCGTACCAGTTGACTCTGTGCCCGCTGTCGTACCAGTTGACTCGGTGCCATTGACTCGGTGCCCGCTGTCGTACCAGTTGACTCGGTGCCAGTTGACTCGGTGCCCGACTGTGTCGTACCAGTTGACTCGGTGCCCGCTGTCGTATCAGTTGACTCGGTGCCAGTTGACTCGGTGCCCGCTGTCGTACCATTGACTCGGTGCCCCGCTGTCGACGCCAGATGACTCGATGCCTGATGACTCGGTGCCCGCTGTCATGCCAGTTGACTCGGTGCCCGCTGTCGAGCCAGATGACCTGATGCCCGAGGACCCAGTGCCCGCTGTTGAGCCACATAACCTGATACCTGATGACTTGGTGCCCGCTGTCGTGCCAGTTGATTCAGTGCCCACTGTTGTGCCAGTTAATTTGGTGCCTGCTGTCGAGCTTGGTGACCCGGTACCCGCGGTTCTGCTAGAAGGCTCGGTACCCGCTGACGTGCCCGGTGACCCTGTGCCCGCTGTCGTGCCAGATGACTTGGTGCCCGCTGACGTGCCTCTGCCCGCTACACAGCCCGCCATACCCAGCCCCTGATGTCCAGTTAAACTGGCCGATAACTGATACCCAGCCTGCTCCTGGAAATCCTGTGCCCAGTGGACCTGGCCTTCCTTGGTTCTCCTACACAAAGAGAAGTCTACCACAGGAAACCCAGCCAGCCGGTTTACTTCCGGCAGTTAGGATATTCAGCCAGTTTACCCGGACCCCGGCGGTGGAATCATTTTGCCCACTAAGGACTGTTTGGAGCGTCCTGAGGCCGCTCCTTGAGGGGGGGGTTCTGTCAGGCTATGGATTCAGCACTGGTGGTGGGACTCTCCTGCCGTGTGGGCTGCAGTACCAGAGCTGACCAGCGGGTGCTCTCAGCACTGGTGGTGGGACTCTCCTGCCGTGTGGGCTGCAGTACCAGAGTGCTGACCAGGGTGCTCTCAGCACTGTGGTGGGACTCTCCTGCCGTGTGGGCTGCAGTACCAGAGCTGACCAGCGGGTGCTCTTAGCAGCCAGAAGCTCACAATCAGCCAAACCTGGGAGCTGATTACAGAAAGGTGTATATAAGGCATGACCAGGCCTGTGCTCTGCGCCTTGGTGTATGTTTCCCCATGAGCCCCTGTATCACTGTTCCTAGTTCCTGTGAGAAGATACCTTGTTGCCGACCCTCATTCTGATGTCCTGTTGACCGTCTCCTGTTCTGACTACTGGCTTATCCCCTGACCATCCTTCTGCTGATCCTCTGTTCTGCGCTGTCTGTGAGTTACTGAACCCGGCTTGTGACCTTGACCATCCTCTGCCTGCTCCTTTGATACCTTGCTGCCCGCATGTTGCTGACTTGGCCCGTTGACCACGCTCACTACTCTGCCATCCATCCATCCTGCAGGATCAGCCGTACCTGCACATACCTCTGGCGGATCCCTCTATCACTAGCAGGTGTCACTCAGGGGCCGCGACCTGGTTCCTGTCTGCTCCAAGTCCATCCCCACCATCAGGGGCCCTGGTGAATAGCAGACTGGGACTTAGACTCCGCGCCCTGGGGAATCCTGCCCTGAGGACCGCTAGAGGTACCACCAGGCAGTCGTTACAGAACCCTACGGCCGGCCTGACCATTCCACCTTACAGTTCCTGTTATTCTGTATAATTGAGAGTTCACTGATATCTTGCAGTCAAAAATACAGTATATACCTAGCTTCCTCATTCTAAGAGACTCTAGGCAACTTAACCACTACACTGTTGTTATTGCATGCACGGTTGCCTTAAGCTGCTCATTTGATGAGGACAGCTACAGTTTATGCTGACCTTATTGGAACTTAAAGTAGCACTCCCACTTTGTCATTTTTAGTCTGAAACTGTGTATGCCAAAAAGAGTTTCTCATTGCAATATTCTGTCTATTTTCTTAGTTTTTATATTTTCAATATACTTTGTTATTCTACTCCAAGGTCTCGAGTCTCATTTCGGGGTGACCCTAAGGTACTAATGTTCTTTATCTATTGACATATGTACCCAAGGTGTCAGTGGTGCTGAGGTCATAGCTGAGGTCAAAGTAGGAACAGAGGGCCCAATACAACCAGCAGCTCCTGCGGGGGTAGACCAGGGTGGTGCTGCGGACATAGCCTAGTTTGATTTTTAGAAAAACACTTGGTACAGGTCCTCATAATGTTCCTATAATAAAGATTTAGAAGCTAAGACTTAACCCTTGGCTAGTTCAGTGGATACACATTTGGATAATAAATAAATATCATTGGGGTTGTAAATGGGGTTTATTTGGAAGAGAGACCAGTCACTAGCGGTGAACAACAAGGCTCTGTACAAGGTCTTGTTCTATTTAATTTGTAAGTGACATAATTGAAGGTTTGGTGGGCAGGGTATATCATATTGCTGATGACACAATGAAATGGGATTGATATTCCTGGAGATGGTTTATTGCTGGGAGATTGGTTGAAGCATCATTCTAATGTTCTAAATACAAAATAGTGTATTTAGGGGAGAAAGAGTCCTCTGACAGAGTACAATATTGGGGGTACAGTGCTGCTGAGAGGAAAAAGATTTATGGGTTATTTCAGATTATTGCAACATGGGCAAGCAGTGTGGCCAGGCAGTAGGGACAACAAAGAGAATTCTGGGGCGCATCCGTAGAGGGGATTACCAGCAGCAGCTTTCTCTTAAGGATGTGAATAAGGTTCAGGAGGGTAGTATTTTCAATATGAAGCCAATATCAAGAGCACGGGGACATAGCCTCAAACTAACAGGATTAAAGTTCAAAACTAACCTTGGAAAGTAGTATTTTACTGAACGTTGATGCTTGGATTTGACTTCCAGCAGAATGTTTTGAGTCAGTCAACAGTAAATAAATGTAATTACTTGGTAACCACGCTATAGCTGATTGACGGCTGCAGCGCAGTTACCCAGTTCTGGGAGGGCATCATATGACGTCCTCCAAGAACATGCCCTTCCGTGCGCCCCCAGGGGGGCGTACCCGGCGATCTCTGTGATCGCTATGTCCTACAGACACAGCTGATCACATGATGATGTAAAAGGCCAATCACAGCTGCTTTTTACCACGTGATCAGCTGTGTCCAATGACACACAGCAGATCACGGAGTAAATACAGTTGCCGGTTATCGGCAGCACTTTCCTCACACTGTCACAGGAGGAAAGTACTGCCAATAACCGGCAGCTTTCACAGAGCAGATCGGCACTGATGATCAGTGTCCTGCAATGCCACCCAGCAGTACCACCCTCCAGTGCCCAGCAGTGCCTCTCACCAGTGCCAAGCAGTGCCTTCCACCAGTGCCACCCATTAGTGCGCCCATCAGTGCTGCCCAGTAGTTGTGCCCAGCAGTGCCACCCACCAGTGCCCAGCAGTGCCTCTCACCAGTGCCCAGCAGTGCCATCCATCAGTGCCATCCATCAGTGCCCCCCATCAGTGCTGCCCAGCAGTTGTGCCCAGCACTGCCGCCCATCAGTGCCCAGCAGTGCCACCAGTCAGTGCCATCAGTCAGTGCTGCCAGCCAGGGCTGTCAGTCAGTGCCGTCAGACAGTGCCGCCTTTCAGTGTCGCCCATCAGTGCTGCCTATCAGTGACCATCATTGCCGCATCTCAGTGCAGCATCATCAGTGCCTCCTCATCAATGCCCACCAGTGCCACCTCATCAGTGCCACCTCATCAGTGCAGCCTATCAGTGCCCATCAGTGCAGCCTATCCATGCCACCTCATCATTGCCCCTCAGTGCTGCCTATCAGTGTGCAGCATCATCAACGCACATCAGTGAAGGAGAAAAATTACTTGTTTGCAAATTTTTATAATAGAAACAAAGAAAAACTTTTTCTTTTTTGCTTTTTTTGTTTATAGTGCAAAAATAAAAAAAAAAAACAGTGGTGATTAAATACCACCAAAATAAAGCTCTATGTGTGTGAAACAAATTATCAAAATTTCATTTGGGGTGCAGTGTTGCATAACCGCGCAATTGTCATTCAAATTGTGACAGCGCTGAAAGCTGAAATTTGGCCTGGGCACAAAGGGGGTATAAGTGTCCAGTAGGCAAGCGGTTTTAAACATACTTGGGACAAACTTAGATCTTTACTTGGGCAAAAGAAAACATTAAAGCAAACAAAAAAGTGGGCAGACACAATCAACCACAGCACAATTATGAGAAGAGTAGATTCTGCTTTTGTAAAAGAGTGGCATGGCTTTTTAGAGTACTGGGGTGCTAAAGAATAAAACTATGAATATGCTCAGATAACAGCAATATTACACCTAAAGGTTTGCTTTTAGTCTAATGCAGTTCACATCATTTTTATAAAAATAATATTTTAAAGTGAGATGTCCTATCTCACTGGCAGTGAAAAGAGTAATAATATTACCTTGTGTGTAACACACAATATAATGAAAGAGAAGAAGTATAGATAGAGTAAAAAAAAAACTCAGTATGTAATTTGTCAATGGTAAAATGGAAACATTTGGTAGACAAATCATATGTTTTAAGGGAAAGTGCAAAGCAGGATGAGAAAAGTTATACATATCTGTGCTTGTGAGCTGCTATGGTGTATTTAATAAAATTATATATTTACTAGTGCTGTGGTTCACTGACACTTTTACACATACCCATATGACTGTGCGATAATTATTATTATTATTATACAGTATTTATAAAGCGCCAATAGTTCACTCAGCGCTGTACATTACAAAGGGGGACAGAACATGTGACAGAACAATACCAATACAATGCAAAACATGAGGGGATTGAGGGCCCTGCTCTTACGAGCTTACAATCTAGGATAATAACTAATATATAATATTACATTTGTGTCGCGCTCCACTGTGAATCAATAAATAATAATTATTGTGAATAAATTATTATTATTTTGAAAAAATCTGTATTGAAATACAAGTGAAATTAAATAAACCTTAATATATTTTTAAAGTGCAATATGTGCTTTAATAAAAATATATATTATTATAAATAATAAATTTAAGATACCCAAAAAGTTATTTTTATATAGTGAAAAAAATAAAACCTGAATAAAAATAATAAATAAAATAAAAAAATATAAAGTAAAATTATATATCAAGTGTATAAAATAATTAGTGTTCAATTTACATAATAGTGTCCAAATCAACAAACCAAAAAAGTCCACTCCGTGATTGTAATCAGAAAATGAATGAATTTTTCTTAATTATGCGCTCACCTTAACTTTAGCTAAACCGTAAAGTTAGGCTAAAATAGCTTTGTGTCCTTATGTGGACAGGAAGGTGATTTTCAAGCTTTGACCATATTCCAAAAACAATGGGTAGTTGGATGTAATATTGCACTTTTCCCACAGGGGGTCTCCTGGACTTGCTGATCCCTGTTTGTGTTATGGATGGATGGATTTTCTCCCTTTGTCCTCCAGGGGTCTTTGATAATATATAATATTATATATTAGGATGAGAAAAGGTTACTCAGAACTTCCAAGGCTTAATTGTTGTCTATTGAATCAACAACAAATACCATTTCAACTGGTGCTTACTGAACCAGCAACAGAAGGTACAGTATTGCTGTTACAACATGGGACACTGTGCACTTAGGCATAGGAATAACAGGAGGCAAATCTAACCCTTTGTGACAGAATCATGAAAGATGGCTCACTTTCAGCTGGTCAAAAAATTGCCAAAATTCATAGGTCCAGCCAGGTCACGTGGTGTTCTGTAGAGAACATGATGGATTTTATTCTTAGGTTATACCACTCAGTTCTAATTATTTTTTTTTGTTTGTAAAATTTAATAAATTATAACATCTGTTATTTATTTTGTACAGTGCTGCATAAAATGATAGTACTACTACTATCTACTTTAACCTCCCTAGCGATTATGTCCATATTTCTGTGCTCAAAGCGGTACATTTTTTTGCATGGAAATATTATTATTATTATACAGTATTTATAAAGCACCAACAGTTCACTCAGCGCTGTACATTACAAACATGTATTTTTTTTATTGTAGGCCTGTAATTTTTAGGAATAACTCACTGAAATCAGTCCGAACAGGAGTCTAGTAAACATCCCGGGTATGTTAAAATTTGAAACACGAAATCATAAATTA